AAATAAAATGGCTCCGTCCGTGTAAAGTATTTTAAAACTTTTAGTTTAAAAATGATAATAACTAAACAGCCTACTGTATTTTTACAGTCTTTATTTTACAGTTAAAATACATGTTTATTAAATAAAGTCTAATGTTACAATTAATTGGGGATCCCTTTAAAGTCCTACTGGCTGTTCTTAAGCTGTTTTTCTGACAGTGCATAAATGTAGTGCCAATTTACCATTAATAGAAAAGAGAGTGGAGTCTTGACCTCCCTCTGCTGTCGCCACACACTCCAGAAAATTAAACCGTCCTCTGCTGATGTTCACCCGACTCTCTACCTGCGTCTTCTCAAACGGTCGGCTGAACAAAGTCACAGTCATAACATTGTGCTCTTCCTGGGAAGTATTTTTCTGTTTGGAACACCTGAAAACAGAAAATAGTTATTTAATCATTTTGGAAATGAGCCAATAGAATCACTGTTGTTTTACAAATGTAACCAGTCACCTCGATCTCTTTTCTAGGTTTCTGAATGTCAAACATTGTTTCTCAAAGTCATAAAGAGTCTTTTGTATTAAAAAAACTTTACACAAAAGGAAGAACCACAATAACGTTCAGAAATTAGTATTTTCTTGTGATAGGCTCACAGGTAACCAACCATTTACACACCTGTCATGACAGCACATGTAATAACGAGCATTATCTGGGTGTGATGACATTTTTTATTTAACAAAAGAACTGAATAAATGAGTTATTTTTATCTTATGATTCGCTAAACGTGTGGCTTGAGATGCAGAATGGGCCTCCTGCAGTTGTATCCAGGCAGACGTACTTGTTCCTCACCAATCACAAGTCAGTTCTTTTCAATCCTCAGTCACATGGCATCATGTTATCACTGTCAACCAATCACAAGTCAGCTCCTTCAAATTCCACAATCCCTCATTCCACCATCATCATCATTCCTTACCCGGCCCAGTGGGTCTTCAGAGTGACCTTTTAGAACCTTTGAGACGAAACTTTACGAGTTTTAAGTTTGAAATTTAACAAATCGCTGATCTGAGTCAGTATTTATTCCTTTAATGAGACTGATGAGCAACATGACTGACATCTACTTCAAAACAAAGCAATTATTTAAAACTAATCAGTCATTTTGTATTAAAGGGATCCCTGATTAGTTGTAACATTAGACTTTATTTGATAAACATGTATTTTAACTGCAAAATAAAGACTGTAAAAATACTGTAGGCTTTTAAGTTTTGTAAATTTTAAAAAATATAATTTAACACGGATTGAGCCATTTTATTTCCACACAAAGCATTCTGGGTAAATGATGACGTGGATAGGTCCTCGGTGCGAGGCTGCTAGCGAGCTATATCCACCCTGAAGGTTAATCTTGGACAATATCTGATGATCGACTCTTTTAAATGAAACCAGAGAGCGTTGACAGAGAGGAGAAGGTAGAAATGACTCAGCCTGGAACTGAAAATATGGATGGAGGACAACAGAGCTGCTTCATGGAAGAACAACCTCAGCTTAGCCTGTTAGTCTTTGCGTTAGCGCTGATGCTATATTGCCTTATATGAATTAGCTCGGCGCTAGCACGACAAACAAGCTAAACTGAGGTCCTCCATCCATATTTTCAGTTYCAGCTGAGTCATTTTTGTGTTCCCCTCTCTGTCATGTGGATGGAGGAGCTCAGTAACAAGAGGAGAATGTGTAGCGCTGAGCTAATACGTATACGTATATTTACCCAGAATGCTTTGCATGTAAATAAAATGGCTCCGTCTGTGTAATATATTTTTAAACTTTTAGTTTGAAAATTATAAAAAATAAACAGCCTACAGTATTTTTACAGTCTTTATTTTACAGTTAAAATGCATGTTTATTAAATAAAGTCTAATGTTACAACTAATCAGGGATCCCTTTAATATCTAATCAAAACAATGAGTGTGTAATTTCCCAGAAACCATTCCTAAGCACTGATTGATGATGAGACATACAGTAATATCATGTTTTCCAAACAGCTACTCCCAATAAGATAGTGATTAATGCTCAAATACAGAAAATGAATTGGCTTAAATCTTGATTTTTTTATATATATTTTTTATATATATAAGTTAACCACAATTGAAAAAAAGCTTTAAAAAACTCACTTGATGTACGGCTGCTCACAGTAGTACCATTTGATCTGGGGGGCAGGGAAACCTTTAGCCACACACCGCACCTGTCCATCCACCGGCCAATCATGGGATACAATCTCAGGTTTACCTAATAAACAAAACAAAATGTCTAAATGAGGCAGGTAAGAAAGTTAGTTTAAAACTAAAGCGTGTACAAAAACACACAGAGGCAAGGATAAARAAAGATTATTAGGTGCAGACAGAGGATCTTAAGAGCAGATCGAGCTAACTTTACAGAAAACTTTTCACAACTTACTGATGACAAAGATGGTGAATGTCTGATTTACTGATGCATCACTGTTGGAGGCTTGAAAGGTATAAATTCCACCTTCTGATTCCTGCAGCCGCACTAGCCTCAGCTCACTGCTGTAGCTGATCATAAAATGAACACATTTTTAGCATGAATGCATATAGTGAGTATGTATCTTTCAAATTCCAAAGTAAAATGGATTTTTTATTGCGACAAAAAGCGTCAGTACTAATTAAGCCACARCCAATTCAGCAGGATAAATGATTTAACGTTTCGATATCTGTAACATTGATTTTTCAATATGTTCTTTTACACACATCTGCATAACATTTTGCTTTTGTCAGTCAAGTCCAACTGAGGCGTGAAGGTCACATCCTAATTCTACCAAGATTAACAGGAATGTTAATATTTCTTTTTCTGGTACATATAAGCAGGTCATGATTGGYTTTTCTTTAAACATAAACTGCCAGTTGTAATCTGGCTGTTTCATGAGAAAACCTGGGGCAGGGTAGTCTGCTCCAGATGTTTTTCTTCCAGTGCTGTGACCTGCAGCCGGGACAGAGGCACTACATTCCTTTGCTCCTAAGTCATAATCCTCTCCTCCGCTGTGTGGCTGGACTTAATGGAGCGTGTGTGGATTTTCACCTGAAGTCGTTTTTGTGTGTGCTGATGATGTGATCAGTTGTGTTTCTCATTTTGAGTCCCTCGAAGCTCCAGGAGAAGGTGTGGGGTTTCGGGTAGGCCTCCATTCCAACTGTCAGAGACAAGCTGTCCCCCGAACGGACACGGAAAGTCGTGTTGCCTACGGGCAACAAGCTTATATATCCTCTTTCTGCAACATTAAAGAATAAGACTTTAGTGCCAAAATCTGGTGACACACAATTCTGTCACAAGTCTGTGCTTTTATTATTGATGCCTCAGACTTACTGGTAAAACTATTAATTATATTGCATTAAAGTAGACTTTAAGAGCAGGGATAGGCTGTTATTTAGACACATTTCTTTGTCTTCTAGTACAGGGGTCTGCAACCTTTACAACCAAAAGAGCCATTTCTGCTGCTTGACACACTAATAAAATGTGTCCAGAGCCGCAAAACAAGCTAAAACTATGATTATCAAGTGTTGGTCCGTGGGCCTTTTCGGTAATCTTTACAGCCAGTGGAGGAGACATTATAAAACTAAAAAATGTAATGTGAGTTTTATTATTTATCAATATTTTTATACACATCAGAACAAATGAAAAGACCATATTCATGTAAACAAGAAAAATACTGTACATAGTTTATCCTAAATTTCACTAAAACTATTAGAACGGAACTATTCAGGCATATTTTTTTCCAATTCTTATTGTTATGTATTTAAGTAAACAACAGGCTAGCGTGAGCTAACATGTTTTACTTTTTGTATTAGTAGTATTGACCACATATTTGCACATAAATTGATTTATTGTGAGTACAAAAACAAAAAAATATATATTCTATTATGTTTGGTCATACAGTATTTTCAAACAGCCACTGCAGAGGAACCAAAGAGGCCCCAGACCTAAGGCCCCAGAGCCTTAGGTTGCAGACCCCTAGTAGGTAGTGAGAAAATATCTAAAAGTTTGAGCTAAGGCTTCTTTGTCCAAATATGTGACCCATCACATCGAAACGAGGATTAAGTCCAAATGTGGTATATGGAGAAATAGGCAACTGTGTTTTGACTAAAATGTTAGCAAAAATAGCATTTTGTCAAAATATAATGAATAAAAGCCTTATTAATGTATCATTTGAATGAACTGTCTGAAATATAATCATAAAACTAAAATTTGAAGCACTATTTTGAGCAGTAGCAACAAAAAACTCATTTAGAGGAAAAACACCTTAAAATGTTGAGATTTTCCCTGTGAGTTAGTAAAGTTTTGTTTCTTTTTAGCTGGGAAATCTCAATATTCAAATATAATTTAAGGTTTCCTCTTTATAAGGACATCAAAAATTCCTCATTAAAATGACCTAAAATTAGGATTCAGACCAAATATTTATGAATTATTGTAGCCAACAAGACAAATTAAGTCATATATATGGATTTAATTATGATATCA